GGTTTGGAAACAGTGCAAGTATGGGTCAGGAAGGCGAAAAGTTTAAAATAATAAAAAACCTTTTCATAACAACGACGCTATTAATAGTATGCGCCCTAGTATGATACATTATACTGCGCTATTGTTAACACTGCCCTATAATATTACTTTCAACGACGGTATATTTTAATGAAACGACGTTTTTAAATCGAATTACACGACGCATGTTTCTTCAAAAAAGATGAATTGTCATTTTCCAATTTACCAAACGACCTTATATTCAATAATAACGACGTTAAAAATTAATACCACGTCGTTTTAATTACTCATACCGACGTGTAATTTTTTTAATTACACAATAAATTAATTTTCCAAAAAATTACAACGTCGTTTTTATATAGCGTCGTTGTTAAATAATTTATACGACCTTATTTTAAATTTAAAGGACGTGTATGTTATATATAAACGTCTATATTTTAAAACACCGACGTGGTATATAAGATTTGTTTATAAATAATGGGTTTTCTGTCTTTCTGTCGTCTTCATTTTTCAATTAGGGTTTCAACTTTTTCTCAATTCTCTGGAGGCACATCACCTCTCCTCTCTGTCTCATCTCGCTTTCATTTTTCAGTTTGGATGTTGATGTGTGTGCGCGTTTGTGTATCTGAAAGACACAAACACGCACACATCATCTAAAAAATTGTCTTTCTGCATAGAAGGAGAACAAGGTCTGCATCAGCCCTCTTTCTCAGCTCCTCCATGATGGGGTTCTTTGGGTTGATCTCCATGGTCTTCTTGCTCGACATGTACCCGGCCGCTCTGTTATCCCTCAAGGCCTGAGCCTTCATGATTCTTTCCATGTTGGCAGTCCAGCACGGTCAGACTGTTAGACACCACAACCTTCTCCACTAGTCTGTCACCCAAAACATCCTTCACAACCTTGCAGAGTCCCTCAAACTTCTCCTTCAACTCTTCCTTCTTCTTTGCCTCGTCTTCACTCTCATCAAGCTTGAGACCTTCCTTGGCGGCTGAGACAAGCTTCTTGCCCTCAAACTCCTTGTGAGAGTAATTGGCACATCATCCACTTCTAAAACATTGCCTTTGTTCATTCTGGTTCGATTATGATGAGGAACAGAGTTCATTCTGGTAATGATAGACGAATAATTGCATAAAATTTGTACGTCGTTAATTTAACAAACCGTCGTGGTTAGTACAATTATGCGACAGTAGAGTTATGGATACCGTCGTAGTATATTATAATTAAAAAGTCGATAAATTTATATTTACAGTCGTGGTAACTTAATTTAAATCGGCGAATTGTTTTGTAATTAACCGTTGTAGATTTCTTTGAATTTATGCATCACTGACTAAGAAAATTGGGTCGTTTTTATTTATGAGTTAACACGGCGTCTTATTTTTAAATCATCGTCTTTACTTTCTACGGCGGTGATTTCATAGTTGCAGTCGTTGTTTTTAGGTTCAGATTTTAACTCTGAAAATACCTTTGTAATAAGACGACGCTTTTTTAATTTGGTGCGTCGTGGTTTCAAAATATCTATACGTGTGCCGTTTTTTAGGTGTTTAAAGTATGTTTCTACGACGGGTTTCTATTACCGTCGTCTTTTAAAAAACAACGACAGTTTTTTGATCTACCGTCGTTGTTTACTGGTCGTCTTTTGCCCTTTTTGTAGTAGTGTTGGCACATTCACAACAAAATATTTACTCTATCATTAGATAATGCATCAAATAATGATTCAATTGCAAGTATACTTCCATCAACTCTTTTGCTGGATTCTGTGCATGAAAAGTTGTTTCATGTACGATGTTGTTGTCATATATTGAATTTGATTGTGCAAGATGGACTTAAAGTTTTATCTCCGTCTATTGATAAAATTACTGATATTGTTCGTAGCATGAATTCATCTAACAAGAGACATGAAATTTGGGTGAAATGTTGTAGTGATTTCCATATGGGAAAGAAAAATATAGATATTGATGTGCCTCATAGGTGGAATTCAACGTATGAGCTTATACATGTTGCTCTAAAGTATAAAGCCCCTTTGCATAGGTATGTTCAAAAGGTAAATGAATCACGTTTTTGTAATTTACAAGTACCTAGTGAAGAAGATTGGACAATAGCACAACTTGTTAGTGGGTTTTTACAAATTTTTTATTCATCAACTAAGATATTTTCTGGTGTGTATTATCCTACTTCAAGTCGTGTTATTAATTGTTTAATAGATATTCATGGATCATTTGCTGCATATTCTGAATTTTCTGTTTTTAAGGATGCTTTGACTGAAATGAAAACAAAATTTGAT